GTAAAAAGGAGGTGAACTCACGTGGCGAGTAGAATGGCTTGCAGTTTAAAGACAGTGACTCCAGGTCCGGGCTGCAGTGTGCGTCGAGCTTCGTGACATCAGTGCATCATTCTTCGTTGATATAGAAGCAAATCCCACCACCTTTCGATTTCCCTCATGGCTCCGTGTCACGGTCGGCTCGGAGAAGACGGAAGCCGGGTAGATGTAGCTCGGAATCCGGGTGGCGGTCACTGAGCCAGGTTTCAGTGAAGCAGAGCGCAGTAGAACGTGCAAAGGTTTTGTTGTTCTTTGTGAGGAGAAGAAGTTCATCCATCTTGTTTGGCAGAGATCGTAGATTAGCAAGATGGATCGATGGGAGCGGGGTTCGAAATCCACGCTGCCGGAGCTTGACTAGCACGCCGGCTCGCTTCCCCCTCCTCCGACGGCATTTCCATGCTCCGTACAGCGCAGCTGCTCCGCTCGCGATTAGCTCCGAAAAACCTTGTGGATTTTCGTGTGCTGGTGAAAAAAGACTCCCCAATGCTCAGCAACTTTTCCCTCGTGTAAGTAAGCCGCTCAGGGTCGCCAAAAACGAAAATGACAAAAACAGGGATAATACTAGGGAGCATGTAACCGAGGCTGCCATACCTGTCGGCGCCTGATGACGTATCCAGCACCCCATCCATCAGTGTAAACCCCAATGTCCAGGCACTGAGCCAGAGCAATGAGTATGGCCACACCTGCTCTACGTCTCTCGCCGTCAGCCACTCCAGAGTGGAAGAGAGTCCAACCGCTCTCGAGAGAACTGGTACCAGAGCCCAGGCTGTACATGGAGGCAAGTCCAACTATATCTAGTTGGAACTTCTCTGCTTCGCATACCAGCTTGGGCTCCTTCCTTGTAAGAGAGGTGACATTCCACGTCCATAGAGCTAGCTTCGGTAGCCAAGGATTGGACCGTCTTTGGCTGCCGCCCAGCTCACTTTGCACCCGACCCCTTTGGCCCCTCCCATAGGTGGCGAGCCCATGGAAAGTGGGACCCACATTGTCTATTCGGGCTGAGCCCGGCCGGGCCCCATGGGTGTAGGCCCGGCCACCAGGCGCTCGCCAGCGAGCCCCACACCCCTTTTTTAAAGCGACCTCGGAAAGCTGAGTCCAGGTGAATCAGAACAGAAAAATTAATGCCACAGGTAGTTAAAATGTAACAACAATTCATTCATTCCGTAGGCCCAGGAGTAGGGATATCCTGTACTTGGTCGACTGGGAGGGCTACGGACCAGAGGAGCGGCAGTGGCTCCCCAATCCTGGATCATGGACCCGTCCCTTCTCCATACCTTCCACTCATCCCATCTGTCAAAACCCTGTCGACCGCGAGAGGGGGACTGTCATGATTCTGTTCTTGTGTGTCTCCAGCAGGTGGCAGAGGAGGGCCTTCCCTCCAGCATGCACACCTGCTGCCAATGTTTCATCAGTTAAGCCATGTATTTCAGGTTTGACTTATTGCCAAGTTTCCATCGGATTATTGACCCGGTTGTTACTCAGGCTCAAGAGTTGTTTTCCAGATCTCTCAATCTTGCCATTGTTGTTTTTGATCTTTAGTACCTTTAGTTGATCTAATTTTGTCTTTGATCTTGCTCTTGTTTTGTTTTTGTGTAATTGGACTCGTCATTTCTTTTATGTTTTCGGTGTTACTATGACCTTGCCTTTTGTCTATGCCTTGTTTTTCCTGGCTCCTTGTGACCAGCGATTTCTGTTGATACTTTGTCGGTGCGCTTTTGTTAAAAAATACACATTTTTTGTGAGGGACTTTATCGTGGCATCCAATCACCATTCAGTTCATCCACAAACTGTGTCATTAAACTGTGGTTCTCCTAGGAGAAAACTGTTAGTCAGCCCCACCACAGAGGTGAATTGTAGGGAGTGAAGCAATGTTGATATAAAGTGAAGGTAATATAAGTAGTGCATTTATGAAAAGTAACAAGAAAAAAAAACGGAATATATGTAAACACATGCATACCTATTGTTAGTTTTGCACTTGTTTGAAATTGTTTTCATTTAAGATTATATGCATTAAATGCCCTGTTAACAGCCACTGCTTGTTGCACACAAACATCATATTCAGAGGAAATATTTTACATTAGAATTCCAGGCACTGTCATTTTTCATGCAAAATTACAGTCTGCCAACTATGTATGGCTACGAGACATCAGCATGCGTTGTCAAAAAAGAGTGCGACCAAATCACGTGGTAGCGCAACCAATTGAGAAAGTTGGAAACAGAAAACTTAATGTAGAGCCCTGTTCTTACCTCCTCCTCTAATTTGACCACTTTGGCTTGGGCATTGTTAAGGGCCTGATCTCGAATTTCAATGTGTCTCCTTTGGTCTTCTGTGGTGGAGTGCAGCACATTCAGCTCCATCTCTAGTTTTTCCTTCTCACGCAAAGCCTCTTTGTCTGGGCATAAACCAAACAACACATGAATTATAAATGGTTATACATCTCTGCATGTGTATTTGAGTGTGTATAGATTGATGCTTAGAATCTGAATACAGTGAAACTCCTCTACAACGAAATCATGTTTGCAGTAAGACATTTTTCACAACAGGGGGTTTTTCACTGTAGCAAATTTGATCTCAGATGTAAGCACACACACACACACACACACACACACACAAACACACACACACACACACACACACACACACACACACACACACACACACACACACACA